GTGGGGGAACCCCCACTGGGGTCACTGAGTACGTTCAGCCTTACTTCAGAGGTAGGCAAGAGGTAGTCACGCATACAGAGACCATAGACGCATCAATCGATACCAGTTTTCAGCAGATACGAGAATACCTAGAACGCTACACACACTTGGGGTCCGGGTGGGCTGTAGATAAAATCGATAATGTCTATCTAGACATAGCTAACTACGTGCCGTTCAGAGGTGGGTCATACCTAGACTTGTCCCCCTACTATAAGAAAACAGGCCATGGTAAACGTCAAGAATAGAGGAGACGATTGCCTGAGGGTAGCTACCAGGTCAGCCTTGTTTCCAGCTGACACTCATTCAGACAGGCTTTCTAGCTATCCCCAAGATGATGGGCTCAACTGGGATGGTATAGATGAACCAACCCCCATATCCCAGATCACTAAAGTAGAAAAACAGAATAATCTAGCTTATAACGTCTTTGGGCATGAAGGCAACACAACAATAGTACACAGGGTCAGCCCAGTGTTGGGGGGAGGAGGGTCGCCAAGTTATCAATATATTCATGATCCAACGAGGTGAAAAGTATCACTACACGTGGATAAAACATCTCAGTCGGTTGTTGCACGATCAGTCGAAACACGTTGGGAAAAAACACTTTTGTGTGCGATGCCTGCACGGTTTCAGCCGAGCTGATTTATTAGAATCCCACCGGGAGGATTGCCAAGGTGTGGGGCAGACGGCCATACGAGTCGACATGCCTAAGGAAGGTGACAATATCCTAAAATTCGACAACCACAAGAACCAAATGTCTGTGCCTTATATCATATACGCCGACTTTGAAGCCTTGGTCAAACCTGTTGAGGCTGTTAAAGGGTATCCCCAGGGCTGTTGGGGATACCCCAACCACACTCAAAACACAGGAGCATGAAGCCTGTGGGTTTGGATACGTTGTCGTCCGTTGTGACGGGGAAACGAAAGCTCCGGTAGTGTACAGGGGTCCCGACGCGGCTGAAAGGTTTCTAAAGTGTTTGCAGGAGGAAGAAAAAAATTATTAGGAATGCACTGTATACAATCGCCCCCATGCGTATGACCCAAGCCGACAGGCTAGCTCACGCCTGTAGCACTAATTGTCACGTGTGTGACTCACCACTGAACGGTGATTCGGTGAGAGATCACTGTCACGTAACCGGTAAGTATAGAGGCGCCGCTCACAGCGCGTGTAACCTCAAGCTTAGAATCATCCCTAAGACAATAAACATCCTCGTGGTCTTTCACAAGTTGAGAGGGTATGACTCACACTTGATCATGCAGGCCATTGCGAAAATCGATGGTAATATAACGTGCATCCCCAACAACATGGAGAGATACATCTCCTTCAGCTTAAACAACCTTAGGTTCATTGACTCGTTTCAGTTCCTCCTGTCGTCACTCGACAGTCTGGTCAAGGCCAACGATACCTTCCCTATCACCGATCGATACACAGACGCCGAGACTAGACCCCTGCTTATGAGGAAGGGTGTGTACCCCTATGAGTACATGGATGGCTGGACCAAGTTCCCCGAGACCAGACTACCCCCTATCAGAGAATTTTACAGCAATCTGACAGACTCGGAAATATCCCAAGACGATTACTCACACGCTATTAATGTATGGAATAAACTGAGTTGTAAGAATCTGGGTGACTATCACGACCTGTACTTGAGGACAGATGTACTGCTGTTAGCCGACGTGTTTGAGACGTTTAGGCGGACATGTTTCAAGCAGTATAAACTCAACCCTGCATGGTATTACACCAGCCCAGGTCTGTCGTGGGATGCCTTGTTGAAAAAGACCGGAGTTAAGTTGGAATTGCTTACAGATTATGACATGCACCTATTCATTGAGAAAGGCTTGCGAGGCGGGATCTCCATGGCAACCAAACGATATGCGAAAGCAAATAATCAATACGTGAAGGGCTACGACCCAAGCAAGCCAACCAATCACATTCTCTACCTCGACGCCAACAACCTGTACGGCTGGGCTATGAGCCAGTATCTACCCACAGGGGGATTCGAATGGGCATCGCACGAGGTCGATGTTATGAGCATCGCACCAGATTCGAACAAAGGTTATATCCTCGAGGTTGACTTGGAATACCCCAAGGCATTACACACATCACACAACAGCTACCCCCTGGCCCCCGAACGTATGAGGGTTAACCCAGACTGGATGTCTGAGTACCAACATAACTTGTTAGGTGGGCGGGTGGCAGACGTTGAAAAAACTCGTGCCCAACTTAATGAATAAGACCAAGTACATCGTTCACTATCGCAACCTACAGCTGTACCTGTCGTTGGGTATGAGGCTGACCAAAATACACAGGGTGCTCACGTTCGACCAGAGCCCATGGATGGAACCCTACATCAGAATGAACACAGACCTCCGAAAGCTTGCCACCAGTGACTTTGAGAAAAAACTCTACAAGCTCATGAACAACTCGGTGTTCGGTAAGACTATGGAGAACCTGAGGAAACGCGTGACCGTGAAGCTGGTTCGGTCGAATGAGGAAGACAAGCTCAGGAGACTGATAGCCAGTCCGGCATTCAACCGTAGCAAGATATTCACCGATGACCTAGTTGCCCTACACTACGAAGAAAAGCCACATAAAATTCAACCGGCCTGTTTACGTGGGGATGAGCATCCTCGATTTATCCAAACACCTGATGTACGACTTTTTACTACAACAAGCTTAAGAAACAGTACGATGACAGGTGTGAAGTGCTGTACACTGACACGGATTCCTGCTGATGGAGATTCGAACTGAGGACGTGTACGAGGACATGAAAAAACACCTCGATTTGTATGACACCAGCGACTACCCCAAGGACCATGCCATACACAGCACGGTAAATAAAAAGGTCCTAGGTAAGATGAAGGACGAGTGTGCTGGCACGCCCATAGCCGAGTACATAGGTTTGAGACCTAAGATGTACTCCATCCTGAAGGCCGACAATAGTGAGATCCGGAAGGCTAAGGGTGTTAAGAAGTACGTGGTGAAACAACACATCAAACACGCCAGATTCAAGGAAGCCCTGTTCAAGACCCGTACCTTTAGACATAAAATGAACACACTTAGAAGTGATGGGCATAGGATATACGGACTGACAATAAACAAGACGTCCCTGTCGCCTATGGACACTAAACGTTGGATAGCTATTGATGGGATAAACACGTACGCGTACGGGCATGAGAAAATTGAACCAAGAACATAGGTGTATGTATAAACGTCGGGGTGACATGTCACGGAACCAGAGAAAGTTTGAGGCTATTTACTATAGCCCGCATGGGTACTGGAAAGGAGCTAGCGCTGTAGATAAGCTGGCTAAAATGGCGCGAGTACCCTCGGAGGAAGCCAAAGCGTGGCTTGAAAAACAAGCCCTGTGGCAGATCTATTTGCCGCCACCACGCTACGTGCCTAGAAGGAAGTTTGGAATTAACATACCTAATAACGTTCACCAGGCAGACCTACTGTTCCTACCCCACGATAAGAGGTACAAGTATGCCTTAACCGTAGTGGACGTAGCCAGTCGCTACAAGGAAGCCGAGCCCTTGACCACGAAAGATTCCGCCCAGGTAGCCAGAGGATTCGAACGCATATACAAACGCAGTCCGCTGACGTGGCCAACAGAGCTAAGTTGACACGATACAAAGGTCAGGCGTGGCACGGCCGGAGCCCATCGCAGCCAAGCCATAGTTGAGAGATTCAATAGGATTTTGGCTGAGCGCTTATTCGGACATCAGTATGCTAGGGAGATGGTCACCCCGGGAAAACGATCGACTGAATGGGTATCAGGGCTCCCTAAGGTGGTGTCGGCGATCAACCATGAAGTCACCCGGCTCACTGATAAGAAACCGGCAGACGCTATCAAACTAAAATCAATAGTTGCAGAGTCGGCTGCTCCATTGCGTGGAAAAGAGAAACAGATACCAGATAGGGCCCTAGTTAGGTATCTTTACCAGCCAGGGGAACACGAGGGTGATAGCCGTAAGCGAGCCACCGATCCTATATGGTCAATCAAAACTTACAACATAGATAAAGTTGACATGAAATCAGACGAGCCTACCTTTGTACTACTTGGAGGGATGGGCCAGGCAGAGGACTCGTTAGACAGGAATTATTGATCGTACCGTACGGCACAATGTTACCTCCTGTCAACACGGCATAGTGGCACATGATGTGTGGGTGCGTGTGATCACATGATACAATCCCCGCTAAACTGACCTACTTCAGCTAAGTCCCATGGGTAGCTCAGTCGGGTTGAGTGGTGCGCCCATTATGTATAGTCTGCTAAGCTGTACATGTGGTTTTCAGATCCTCACCGCCACAACTTTGTGTGATGTGAGGTTCTCTCACAGTGAGAGACACAGTTCCCCTTGGGAGGAAGCGCAATACATTTCTATTTCTCCCTTGGGGAATTGTGGCTGCCGGGGACATTTTACTACTTTTGAAAAGTAGTAGACGCAATGATAGCAAGAGCTAAGGGCTTTGCAGAGGCTTTTGTTGGACTTGGTCCCGGACAATCATTGTATATACTACTAGTGAGTCAATGGCCGCAATGGTAATAATGGGGTGCCGTGATAGGGTTTTTAGTATTGCGCACTTAGGGTGTGCCTGTAATCCCGACAGGTAGATAACGGTGACGGGTTCTGCAATGAAACCCCAATAGGGAAACAAGGGCAACTGAGCTCCCTGAGAACTGGGGTAAATAATTAACACATTCTGCCCTGAAATCACACTAGGGAACCCCACAAGGGTGACTTGGGGTCAACAATAATGGGGTACTTTGGACATATTATCCCTGACATGGAGGCACACCGCGATAACTTGGATCTACAAGAATGTCCTGAAATCCCAACAGTGAGACACATAGGGGGTGTCTTAGGGTCAATAATAACGGGGTACTTGGATATATTACCCGCAGCAGAGAGAAATACAGCGGTAACACGGACCTACAAGAATGGGGTACTTGGGACACTTTCTGCCCTGGATTCCCCCAGATGATGTTAGGGTGTGACGTCTGATGAAGATGATGTACGAGGAAGTGAATAATAACGGGGTACTTTGGACATATTACCCGCAGCAGAGACAAACAGTGGTAACACGGACCTACAAGAATGGGGTACTTGGGACAGTTTCTGCCCTGGATTCCCCCAGATGATGTTAGGAAGTGACGTCTGATGAAGATGATGCAGGAGGAAGTACGGCGGAAACTGCGCCCGCAACGGAAATACCACAATATCAAAACCGTTACAAAATAAGCAAAATTTTCTCCTCAACGCATATATTTATGGCTCTCCATCTTAAATGCTTCTCGTGTTTCTTTACAGAGTAATTATTTACAATATAAACGAGGTGAACACATACAATCAAATGAAACACAAGTCGTTTTGAAGCCAGTGTTATGAGACACAAGTGCAAACAGATTATAGCTATATGATCACTCAGGTTTTCAAAACAATCTAATAGCCAAACATTTATCAGGTCTTAACCTGTCTGTGATCTGTAACTACTTCATCGAAACATACCGGAAAGAAAATTGCCTTTGGGTTAAAACAACCTTCAGCATCAAATCTTTGAAGGGCATTTAGAAGTGGTGGCATAAAAAAGCAAGATTTATGGATGTCAACTTTTTTATTGTGAATAACACGACGTTTCGGAGTGTATGCTTACTCCTTTATCGGGTGAATGGTATGGTGTATCACTGGCCTCATGTTAGTATTACATAGTCATTCCTCAACAATGTTAATCATTGTTATACATGTTTTCTTTGTAGTGCCTCGTGTGTGTGTGTGTGTGAGTGAGTGTGTGTGTGAGTGAGTGTGTGTGTGTACCTACCCCTGATATTCCTTACCATTCATCAGGGCCTATATTTCCGAAGCACTCTTAGCGCTAAGACAGTCGTAAGTTAATGTGGCTAAGACAGTCGTAAGTTAATGTGTATGTATGGCACTTACAACTATCATAGCGCTAAGATAGCTTCGAAAATATAGGCCCCGATGAAGGAGCCAGCATAGACTCCGAAACGTCGTGCTATTCACAATGAAGAAGTTGACATCCATAAATCTTGCGTTTCTTAAACCTTCAGCATCTTCATCATGAAGCATCTCGGCGACATGGAACTGTTGCAAACCGGAAACAATCGCTCCTTGTGAACTTTATGTGAATGTACAGCTAAACTTGGTTTTATTGCTCTATTGTACAATGGAAACGGTATTATAACAGTACAACTTGGTTCTATTGCTCTCTGTTGTACAATGAAAATACGGTATTATAACAGTACATCTTGGTTCTATTGCTCTCTGTTGTACAATGAAAATACGGTATTATAACAGTACAACTTGGTTCTATTGCTCTCTATTGTACAATGAAAATACGGTATTATAACAGTACATCTTGGTTCTATTGCTGTCTATTGTACAATAAAAATACGGTATTATAACAGTACATCTTGGTTCTATTGCTCTCTATTGTACAATGAAAATACGGTATTATAACTGTATTGTATTATAACCAGGAAGGTGAATGATTGACTTGATTGGTATAACTTCCTTAAGAGGCATTTAGAAGCTGTTATGATGAAGGGGGACACTTGTTATTGATAGACAACTTCTTTATTGCAGCAGGTTCGACGTTTCGGAGTAGATTCTAACAGCGTTATCAAGTGCAAGTGATTTTTTGTTTGATAAGAGTTGTCTATCCATAAGGTATGTTCCTCTTCTTAATTGGTATAATACATATCAAGATATGAGAAGCATAGCACTTTAAAGTTTCTGTACTTACTAAGCTAATGGACGCGATATTGTTAAGTTCTTGAAAGGCATTTAGACATTAGACGAAACATGAATACATGACACGTTTTTATGGATAACGACTTCTTTTTAAGTTATAGAACGTTTTATCCATAAAAATTGTTTTGAAGATGAATCTAGTATATGAAAAGAGTTTCTCCAAAGAAAAACTAAATATGAATAGACTCACAACAAAGATCAATGCACTTGTGAAACAGGACGATTTCTTAACAATGAATAATAGTGGCACATATTGGTGGGCGTATTAAAATAAATCGCATTTTTGGCCGGCATTTGAAAATTGTTTTCAGAAAAATATTGGCACTAGCCTTAGAGGCAGGTTGGCATCATAGAAAGGTAATCTGATAGTACGGAAATCCTTTCAAAGGGAAATATGTCAGTTTAACTAAGTTTGCATAATTGCCAGCTTCAAATGTCGGCAATTAGCAGTCTGGATCGACGATTTAAAGATCATATCCCCAACAAGATCTGTGGATCTTTCCACATCAGCGAATTGGTTAACCTACTAACAGACGCTTGTCTCGCAGACACCATGGTCAGCTATCACGTCTTCGACTTCTTCACCAATATCCTTCTACCAGAAGCCCTTGACATCATACGCAACAAGTTACAAACAAGGACTGACAACCTAGACTCCACACACACCACCGACAGCATGGTTAACCTTGAGTCCAGCTGCTTTGACACCTTCATACAACACCTTCAATGACATGCCCTGCAAGCAAATACATGCTCTCTCTATGATCTGCAAGCAAATACATACACTCTCTATGATCTGCAAGCAAATACATGCTCTCTCTATGATCTGCAAGCAAATACATGCTCTCTCTATGGGTTCCCCTATGTCGCCACTCTTACTGAAATCAGACCTCTCCACAGCGCCATTCAAACCCCTCTGTTGGTACCGGAAGGCAGAGGACACATTCTCACACCCTCACATCCCTTGTAACATACAGTCGGAGAGGGTATGCATATTGCAGTAAATACTGTACACCACATGTGTAATACTATTGGGCACAGTGAGAAGAGGTATAAAATCACCTACCCTGCACAATCTTCCATCTCATGGCTGTGAAGAGCTGTGTCTGGAGGTTGTGTCAGTGACGGCACTGTCATCTCTGTCAGGGTCTGTGAAGAGGTGTATCCGGAGGTTGTGTCAGTGGCGGCACTGTCATCTCTGTCAGGGTCTGAGAAGAGGTGTGTCTGGAGGTTGTGTCAGTGGCGGCACTGTCATCTCTGTCAGGGTCTGTGAAGAGCTGTGTCCGGAGGTTGTGTCAGTGGCGGCACTGTCATCTCTGTCAGGGTCTGTGAAGAGGTGTGTGCGGAGGTTGTGTCAGTGGCGGTACTGTCATCTCTGTCAGGGGCTGTGAAGAGGTGTGCCGGAGGTTGTGTCAGTGGCGGCACTGTCATCTCTGTCAGGGGCTATGAAGAGGTGTGCCGGAGGTTGTGTCAGTGGCGGCACTGTCATCTCTGTCAGGGTCTGTGAAGAGGTGTGTCCGGAGGTTGTGTCAGTGGCAGTACTGTCATCTCTGTCAGGGGCTGTGAAGAGGTGTACCGGAGGTTGTGTCAGTGGCGGCACTGTCATCTCTGTCAGGGGCTGTGAAGAGCTATGTCCGGAGGTTGTGTCAGTGGCGGCACTGTCATCTCTTTTAGGGGCTGAGAAGAGGTGTGCCGGAGGTTGTGTCAGTGGCGGCACTGTCATCTCTGTCAGGGTCTGAGAAGAGGTGTGTCCCGAGGTTGTGTCAGTGGCGGTACTGTCATCTCTGTTATGGTCTGAGAAGAGCTGCGTCCGGAGGTTGTGTCAGTGGCAGTACTGTCATCTCTGTCAGAGTCTGTGAAGAGCTGTGTCCGGAGGTTGTGTTAGTGGTTGTGTACGTGGTTGTGTTAGTGGTTGTGTCAGTGGTTGTGTCAGTGGCGGTACTGTCATCTCAGTCAGGGTCTGGAAAGAGTTGTGTCCGGAGGTTGTGTCAGTGGCAGTACTGTCATCTCTGTCAGAGTCTGTGAAGAGCTGTGTCCGGAGGTTGTGTCAGTGGCGGTACTGTCATCTCAGTCAGGGTCTGGGAAGAGTTGTGTCCGGAGGTTGTGTAAGTGGCGGCACTGTCATCTCTGTCAGGGTCTGCAACAACATCCAACACAATGAGCACAACTAACTAGCAGCCAAATAATCAAAGATAATCCGGTATTGCTCTAGATGTATTAATGCTCTGAAACCATAGTAACCAACACCGTTGATTACGTACATTTTCTGGCAAATTTAGATTTGAAGGTGTATTGCCCAGGGTGCCAGGCTGTGTGGCATCGGTTCAGCAGCAGGTCTGTGGCGCTATGGAATGAAAACAAGTAACTCCATTATTGATCAGAGCAATGAACAATGATCACTAACTGCAGTGTGTTTTAAAATGTATGAATTAATAATTAATGCAAAGAATGCTACTGAGCATGGTGTATCATTACGGAATATTCCTAAATTTAAGAAACCAAACTGAGTTGTACAATCCAGGATTTAAATTGTTCATTAATATGCATTCCACATGAGAAATGTTTAAGTTATGCAGAATATATAAATATACTTACTAAAAAGGGGTTTTATGCGCCTGTATAAACACAACATAAGTGGATAATATTCACCAGAGAACTCACCCTCCATGCTTTGTGGCACAAACTTCTTTGGGAATATTAGCCAGAGCAATTTATTATGATAAGGGTCTTGAGTCCCAATGAGGGTTCCGGTGAAACCCCTTATCTAACTGGCGTGCTGGTCTGCTTGGGGGAATTTACTCAGCAAGAGTCCGAAGCTAATCACAGTTTCATTAACAAGAACAAAAACAACATGGGGTGGCCACAGAGAGTCCATACAAACCTCTGGGCTGAGGGCTATAGCTCACCTGTGTTGGGAGTCTAAACCCTACTTACAAACATTTGGTTTTCAAACTATTTATCTACAATTAAAACTATAAAGAGATTACTATTGGTTGACTGATACAGAAAGGGGTGTGTCCTATATGACCAGACAGTGGCGAGTACTTAATCCTGTTAATCCTGTTAATCCTATTTCAACTGGCACTAATCTTGTTGGCACATTTGCTATATACTTGGATGCTTCCCTGTGCTAGATCTCTAACGAGCCTAATTTGATGGGCCAGTTATATGTGATGACATGTTTACTTCATAATATGAATAAATCAAAGCAAATATTCATCAGTGTATACCTAGCTTGGTCTTACTGAAAGGTGTGACTAGCAGCTTGAGTCCTTGATACATTAGTCCAGGATTTAACTTGAACATCTGTGAAATTGTGCAGACGTAATTGACTGTGTATAAAGGATTGTTTCCCTGCCCCTTGGATATTGCATAGATCATAACCTCACTAACGGTAGTGCCCATACCGTTACGCATGCAGTGCCACATTTGTGACGTCACACTGATTACCACACTGACTGTTATTCCACGTTCTGTAAATGAACAAAAGTGTCTGAACCACAAACACCTATACTGCTGACTGAAAAAAACAATACCATAGAGCAAACACATACTTGAATGTAAATAATATTTTAAAAACTATTTTATGTTATATTTAAAAATACTTTGCCATTTCCCAGGTAACCTTTTGTACTATATAAACAATGATCGCTTCACAACGTCATAATGTTTGCGTGAAAATCACGAAAGTATACAGTAGAAGTTATCTGTGTAACATGCCAAACATTAGTTGACATGACCAACAGCTCGACACCGGGTGTTATACAGAAGAGAGTGGTAACAATGAAACAGGAAGTTGCGAAAGTCTCCCAAGGATGTAACCATGCACTAATTGGCGGGGGTCAATAAATCCCATATCGTTTGGGCTGGGAAGGAAGGCTGAATGGTCGTTTTGCTCTGGATAATGTTGCACAGTGTTGGACACCCTACACACAGTATCATTCATAGATTGTCTGATATATTGCAGCTGAATGTTGTGTATTTCATGTGATAATATAGTATTGATAATAAGATATCTTGATAATGTATTGATATCCTGCCCCAGAAGGTTGATATGTTGCATACCAATGTAGTCGGCGCCATTTTCGGCCAAGTTTATCAGCCCACAATACCGGCTTGAAACACGTTTATAAATGCTGTGTTGAGAAAAACGCCCATCACATGGGCTTAACTTGTTGTTGTTGTTGTTGTTGCTGTTGTTGTTGTTGTTGTTGATGATGATGTCATTGTTGTAATTATTGGTTGTGGTGACTTGTTGCTTAACGCCGCACTCAGCAACATCCCGACTATGTCGTGGCGGTCTGGACCAGACAATCCAGTAATCAACTGTTTGGAAGTCGGACTGACTGTGCGTGTGACCGTGTCTACTGTTTTACAGTGTTGGACATGATACACACACTGTGATAGCCACTGAAGCCAGTAAAATAACAAACAAGTTGGGACATGTTACACATGGTATTATAGCCACTTGAGCATGATTAAGCAACTGAAATTCCAAAAGGTGCTATTTCGGGCGGTGGGGTAGCCTAGTAGTTAAAGCGTTCACTCGTCACGCCGAAGACCCAGGTTCGAATTGCCACATGGGTACAATGTGTGAAGCCCATTTCTGGTGTTCCCCGCCGTGATGTTTATTGCTAAAAGCGGCGTAAAACCAAACTCAATCAGTCAAAAGGTGTTTTTTCCTCAAATTGGCAAAATGTCTTCATGTTTTCCGTGAGTTCTTTCTGTTAGTCATAGGTTCAAGTTCTCTGCGTACAGGAAGGTCTAATTAAGGCGTCGTGAACAAATATTGTAGAAAACAATGTTGAAGGCGGGATCGACCCAGGAACTTTTGGAATTGCTGCAATGTTAGTTTCGTCCCTATATGTCACAGGTACAGGGAAAAGTGCCGTGCCGTGCCGTGCCGTGCCGTGCCGTGCCGTGCCGTGCCGTGCCGTGCCGTGCTGATTCTTGCTATCGACTACTGGTACGTTGCCTACATAAATTATCTATTTGACTGTCGGTATGTCGTTTGGGACATCCATCCATCCATCCATCCATCCATCCACCATCCATCCATACATACATACCGTGGCGTGTCGTGGCGTGTCTTGGCGTGGCGTGGCGTCCTAAACAAACGTCTTTGAGAGGCATTTACATGTTGGGGCACGAAGAAAGGATAGCAATTAACGAACGTTCGGTGTAGGTGCTGACACTTGCTTGTGTTAGAAGCTACACTGAAACGTGGCTCCCACTGTAATAAACAAGTTGTTCATACATTTAAAGTTATCCTTCCTTTTGATCTTAATATCGTGTGATGGGCAGGTTCGAACCCGGTTGATTGTGTCTCTTATTTCCTCCTTTTGAAAACCTCCACGTTAACAGAGGCAGTGCTAACTAACTAACTAACTAACTGAAGCGGCCTACAAATATCTGAAAAGCAGCTGTTCACAAAAACTAATGATCATTTTCACGATGTGGCTCCAAACTTGATCCAAAGTACGAGATGATTTTCACGGCTTTAGTTTTATATGAACTATGCTCATATCTTGTTTATATCAAGGCATAGGAGTAGTTTTCACTGTAGATTAGTGTGTCTACAAAGCAATAATTTCAAGAACATGAGCGTGTCGAACCCATGACATTCAGGATGGGAGTTCGACGCGCTTCCATGTGCACCAGTCGACTTCACAAAGATGGTTGGTTGGTTGGGGGTGGGGGAAAATGGAGGTGTGTGGTTTAAGTTTCGGTACTGTATCACGGTATTGTATATCTGATCACCTGATATCGCCATACCCTCACAAATTAGCTGTCTGATGACATGAGCAGTGTAGCAAGAAGTGCTATCCTGCTGTAAAATATTATAGTACATATATCTTCTTTAGTATTCAGCTTGGTTTGATTCAAGCTTTCAGTAATGATTGATTGATTTCATATTAACTTATATATTGTATTGCAAACAATACAAAAACAGGACATCCCACAAATGCTAGTGTCTCTCCATTTCTCTTTCGGCGACCTTCACTCATCCAATCCTCCCTTCCTCTACCCGAGAACCGAGCTTATGATCAAGTCTTCTTCTTGGACGGACAGCAGACGTCTGGAAATCTGTGACGTCAGAACCAGCGATGATGACGTCACTACCTCTCTCTACTTGAACTCACAGGCCTTAATTGGTCCTGAGGCGGCAAACAGTGGCGTGCTATCTGCTCAAATTTCAGGAAACCTGTCCAGAAACAGGGGGTTATTCATCACGGAATTACTCATTCTAACATGGTCAGTCGTGTTAACCGAACTGTTGTGGTTTAAACATATGTTAGTCACGGTCCATTAGGGCCAAGCAAACACGATTATAATATACTATAACAAACATTTAGCCTATTGTGGCACGATTCGAACGTGAATCGACGTGTTCCTGATGGCAAAGGAATCAGCCTTGTTTTGGGGAGTTGTTGTGTGTATTTATAGTTAGGGGATATGACTTAAGTGGGACAATGTGCCATATTCCTTCATGAAATAATGATGGTGTGTTTAGAGCGGGACCCCTTTCAACGTTAAAGACTCTCATTCGACAGGAAGGATTGTGCTCCCTTCACTTGGCTAAACTGAAGGTAGCGTGTACTTCGGATGTGCAAGTAGGGCTTTGTTCTACGATATATTGATATGAAGTGCGTGAGTGAGTGATTGGGTGAGTGAGTGAGTGAGTAAGTGGGTGGGTGAGTGAGTGAGTGAGTGAGTGAGTGGAATTTTGGGGGTAATTCAGTGAAACATTCCACTGCATGGCAAAAGAAAACACTTGTTTTTCATGTAACATGGACTCATCAAGTATTTTGTTTCATTTACATTTAACTGTTAAATGTAACACTGTTGATGTCATTTGACACAGTGACAAGCCCAAATATCTATGGCAACCTTAATTTGTAGAAACAGATCATATAGATATCCATTTGACTAAATTACTGATGTCATCCATTGTGGCCAATGCATTCCCATTTTGAGTAATAACGCAGGGTGCACATTGTGGCCATACAATACCCCTTTCTATAACTTACAATATGCAGTTTGACTGGTGAGTTGCCCTAGCCGAAACGCCAGACTTTCCCCACACTGAAACTCTAACCCCAACCCAATCTGGGATGGCTAAACAATAACATTGCTCCGAAATACGACAGTACCGACACAAATTGACCAAAGAAAAAAACGTGCAACTTTATATCAATGTTCTTAAAAACATCCACTTCAGACTTTCTGCAGCATCATGCTTGTGGAGTTTTCCTTTTTTATTCCAATACGATCTTTGCCTATACCAGTTCATAAGGATAAGTGTAATAGTTATCTGTTTCAAGTATTTTCTTCAGTGTTTTTGTCATAATACGAACCTGTAGTGGTTCAGTAGACACAACGCTGAGACTGAGGCCGTGATAAATTGTGAATCCTGTGTCATTACTGCTACATACCTGTGCTTCTATATGGACTGACATGTGGGGGTTGTGGATACACAATATGGACACTGTCTGCACAGCCATACAGGGCTTGTTTTCATATGTATTTACATTACGTAAGCTTGACATACAGGGCTTGGGAAAAAAATATCAGAATGACAACGGTTTTTATACCAACAAGGGTAAGGGATGCTTTAGCAATAACAGCAACCAGATGTTTTTGAGGGGATACATAGTCATCACAACGTATTTTGTTCTGGCCTAAACACTACATAATTCAACATCCAACTCCGTATGCCAGAAGAATTACATTATGTCAAAATATTGACAGCAGAAAGATTGAGATCCAAATACAAAAACTTCAAAGTACAAAAACGGCTCAAGGCGCGCGCCCGCCGTACAGGACTCAAAGGATAAACGTCTTTCTTTCTTACTACAGCTGGCACGTGGCAAGGTTGGTCGTCGGGGCCTGACGTCATAGCTGGCGCCGTGACGTCATATGGCTGGCGGTGATGACGACATAGCCTCTGTACTCTAAACTCACCACTGTTTACTTGTACCCAGTTGTTATGGCAAGGTACTCACATGCCCACGAAGAACTGAAAAAGGCAATGTGGGTGAAATGTGACAATTTCAGACACTTAATACACTCAACACTGCCAAACGCGCTTTTCACCAATTCAGTTGTGTTCACACCCCCACTGAAAAAACACTGAGTGAGTGAGTGAGTGATTGTTTGTTTGTTTCAGCTGAAGGAGTCGGTGTGGGCTCAAGGACCACTGATATATATCTCAGATTTTATACTAGCCGAAGTCAGAACACAGAACAGTACCCTAAATGTAATGTTTAACCCCTGTAGTTCCGATTCGCCGGATTACGAGTCCATATGCTACACATCGCGGCATATAAGAGTACTGTATGTACTACACCTTGAAGGTTTGTGCATTGCGCCAACGGTATGTTACAACAGTTCCGATTCGAACACTGAAGACAATATTCTATGTTTACCTAGAAGTGACCTCTAGGACCACCCAGATAACATGGCCTGTGAAGCTGATCTTCGATGGCCCACAGGTGGCAAGCCACTGCACCCAAGCAGATAGCATTTGTAACCATCATCCTATTGCTGGTCTATAGGCTACCCGTGAAGATCCGGGTTACAATTGTTTTTCTTATCAGACGACTAACGGGATCGTGTGGTCAGGCTCGCTGACTTGGTTGAGTGACGTCATTCGTCATATCCCAATTGCCCAACATGTCAACAATTAACTGGACTGCCACAGACCAGTTATATAGCTGGAATATTGCTGTATGTGGTCTTACAAACCAAACAGAATCACACAGTCCACCACAAAGAATAAAATCTTGTACAGAGTTGAGAATCTGTTTTATTCTTTTCATCTTTAAATACACGCACAGATACAGCTGTTCACTCAAGTCGGAAGAATCGAAAAGCATTACCCGAGCTGTGGCAATATTTTCTCTTTAGTCAGCATCCATAGGCTGTACCCGACTTGTGGCAATATTTTCTCTTTAGTCAGCATCCATAGGCTGTACCCGACTTGTGGCAATATTTTCTCTTTAGTCAGCATCCATAGGCTGTACCTGAGCTGTAATCTGGCTGTTACATAATGTTAAAACTGTAGGCAACAGCAAACCTGTATTTTATTTCCAACATCTGAATTGTTTATTTAATTCTTGTAAAGCTATGTGCTAGATTTGTAAAGATAAACTCTCATATCCAGAACTGGATTTCGCCGTAAATAACGTTTCTTGTTTGCGAAAATATAAATGTAACGACGTTGTATAAATTTATGGAACATTGTTACAACAAACAAGCTGGTGCACCACGAGCAGGCCGCCAGCTACACGTATTTACCACTGTCGACTAGCTCACTGTACATAGCCACCGACGGACCGACGCCGTCGTGTGATGTGGACATATTTGTGAGGGTCACAGTAACTATTCATATACTTCTCCGGAAATCTGCAAAATGGAAGGATTGTAAGAAGGTTACAAGTCTTAGTCTGTTTCTTGGAAACGTGTATTATGTCATTTGTATGGTGTTTGTGTTATGCATTATTACCTGCAAAGCAAACTTTAAACACATATATATCATGGTGACTGTCAGCGTATATAGCACGTCGTATGGGTTGTCGGTCTACAACTGAATACTATAATTTACACTGACAGACTTCTTTTGTGTTAACCCTTGCTGAATCGGAGACAACAAATACGCAAGCAAACTATCACTCTGAAACATTGATACAACCAATGAATTGATTTGCTGTTGACAGAATGTAATTATTAAAATTTGAAACGCCAATCAATTTACCTTAGACACAACCGGGGAACCACATGGCGACGGTCACGTGACCTCGTAAATAATATTTCATGTGTGCGTAGTTCAATTAACCATATGTTGCTGATGCATTCTGGGTATTTCTGGGGAAATATGGACACATGAATATCATAATCACAGCAATACTTTGAGAATTGATATGGGTATGGAAAAAGGTCACATGACTGTTTCAGCAAAAATCCATTCGCAGCTGATGTTTGTAGCAATTTTTTGTTATGAAATCCATCACATGGCAACGAATACACAATAAAAATGTAAAAAATATGTTCTCGACTGCCTTCCAGCAAGTAATCCAAACCATGTCTATGTCAATGTTGTGTGTGCTCTTGAACAAACTGACGAGCACAACTAAGTATCTGCAATGTAATGTTCGGAATGAAACGGTTATAAAACTCATCATACGGCAAAGAATACATATTAAACAAATTAAAAACTACTTTTTTGTACATTACCTTCAAGCAGGCAAGCCCACCTACGACCTATGCCAATATATTATGTACCTTTGACTGACTGACTGACTGACTGAGTTTTGGTTTTACGCCGCTTTTAGCAATATTCCAGCAACATCACGGAGGGGGACACCAGAAATGGGCTTCACACATTTTACCCATGTGGGGATTCGAACTCGGGTCTTCAGCGTGACGAGCCAACGCTTTAACCACTAGGCTACCCCACCGCCCCTTATTTACCTTTGAACAAAAGCGACGAACACTTTCAACTGTTAGCAATGTAATGTTCGCAACGAAAGAATTATGAAATTTATTATGCGGCGACGAATACATTATACAAATATAAAAAGATATTTATAGATTGCATTAAAGCAAGCTCAACCATTTTGTCCTACGTCAGTTTTGTGTGTGCCTTTGTACACACAAACACTACTGATAGAGAGGAGCGTTCGCGTCTAAAAACAATGCTAACCTGAATATTGAGGACACGGTGAACTCTCAACTGCGAGATAACGAACTGGAATCCCCCATTTCCCAGAAGTGAACAGTTCTCGGAAGGGGTTTGTGTATTTGAAGGATCTATGTACGTGAGCAATGACCCACTTATCGACACAAGCGCGTTCTGCGGCGGAGAATAATAACGGTGGTAATTACGCAGTATTATATATACTCTTAAAATACTCTTTAAAACATTAGGGGA